AAAATCAACGTAGTCCAACTAAAAATTTCATATTTAAATTTGGTTTTTGGGTTTTTGAGAATGATTCGGTGGGCGAGGGGGTGATAATGAAGCGTTTTAATGTCACCAGGTTGGAAGCGTGGTAACAGACCCAACAGAGCACGTCAAAAAAAACAGAAGAAAAACAAAATAAAAAATAATATTTCATTTTCTAATTCCCAATCGGGATTTTGAAAATTATTTGGCGGGCGAGGGGGTGATAATGGAGCGTTTTAAAGTCGATAGGTTGGTAACAGACTTGATAGGCAACATAACGAGATGAAAAAACATTTTGAAATTTTTTTTTTTAATTTTCAAAATTATTTGCCGGGTGAGGGGCTGATTATGGAGCATTTTAATTTTGACGGGTTGGTAGCGTGGTAACAGACCCAACTGACTACGCGAAAAAAACGCAAGAAAAACNGAAAAAAAAATATCAAAAATAATTAATATTATTATTCAGCTCTAACCCCTCCGCCCCTTCTGCCCCAAAAAAGAGAAAAAAGTATAAAAAATAATTAATATCATTATTTGTCTCTAACCCCGTTCCCCACCCCACTGCTCCGAAAAAGAAAAAGAAAGTATCAAAAATAATTAATATTATTATTTGTCTCTAAACCCTCCCCCCCCTTCCCCAAAAAATATCAAAAGTAATTAATATTATCATTTGTCTCTAACCCCTTCGCCCCCCTTCCCCTCCTCTTCAGTTACCCTGAGAAACCCCACTAGATTTATCCCACCCCCNTGACTACGCGAAAAAAACGCAAGAAAAACGACAAAAAAGTAATATTTCATTTTCTAATGTCCAATCAGGACTTTGAAAATGATATGGCGGGCCAGGAGCTGATTATGGAGCGTTTTAATTTTGACAGGTTAGTAGCGTGGTAACACACCCAACAGACCACGTCAAAAAAAAGAAGAAAAACAAAAAAAAATAATATTTCATTTTCTAANATGGGAGGGATATATAGCTTCATTATATTATTTTATTACGGAAGAGTAGGCAAAAGTTGAACAACGGTGTTTTTAAATTGTTTTTGACATTTTTTTCGCGCTCCAGGTAGTTGTGGCTATTGGCTAAACACCCACGAAGTTAGAACCTCCAAATAATTTTCGGTGATCCTGCACTTTAAATCGGCGATCGATTTTGCAATGCACACCCTCCCTTACACTGATAGAAAAGACGGAATGATTCAGTTGTTATTAACGAGGCTTCTTAACTATTAATGACATTCGTTAACTATCAACGAATGATGTTGAAAAGCCTTTTGTTATTAACAGCACCTAAATCGTTCTATCGGTTTAAGAATTGTGGGTATATTCATTTTCGTGACTTTCGATTCAGCATGTCTCATAATTTGTAAATACACTGTTAAAATTTTTGACCAGAAATTTGCGATACAATTGTCGGGAATTTTCATCACATTTAATTTCTTCTTAAATTCCGAGATATTTCGTCATTGGAAATTCAGTATTTATTGTGAAAATCAGTGATACCTATAAATTTCAATTCGATTTTTCCCTAAAAATTAATGGAAAACCAAAAAATTCCTGTACATAATTGAATTTTCAGGACAGTGTCACTGAATGCGATTTAAAGGGGAAAAATTCACGAAATTTAAGATTTTACTCAAAATACAGTGTTATTCGGCACTGAATATTCCTATTTCATTGGAAATTTGGATGAATTGAGGAATTCTCGTTTTTAACTGCGAATAATCCTGAATTTTCAGAGAAAGCTGAAATTTAATAATTTTTCCCCCGTATTCAGTGTTACTGTCCTGAAAATTAGTAGTTGACTGTCTATGAAAAATAATTTTTTCCTAACAGTGTATGAAAAGATTCTTCATTCCTCGCTGTCTCTCTTCTTTGTTTTCGTATCAGTATAATTTCTATCATTATCATAGGTTTTTTTCGTCGAAATGTTTCTGTAGTAAATCATTCAACTTTCTATGAGGCTCGTAGTTTTGATTTTGAATAAATGGTTTTGGTTCTGCAAACATTTAAAAAAATAAAAGAAAAAAATTATATTCCACTTTGTAAATTTAATCACATTTTTCTAAGTTCCTAGATATTTCCATTAATAAATTATAACCAAATTATTTTCAATCTTGGCCAATATTTAATCGGAATTTAAATGCATGGTATGATCTACAAATATGGAAATCCTTTGCTCTATCAATTCTATTAATCGTTTTTTTTCCATATTTGAGTTTCCAGAATAGTTCGAAAAAATGATGAGGAGGGGGGGGGGATGAAGTTCGATTGATAATTCTTATTATTAAGTATGAAGAGGAAAAAAATTAATTTCGATTCAATCTCATACAGGATTGATAAAAATCAAACAGTTATTCTCATCTTTAACAATTACACGTACATCAATCAGTGCTATTCATTCAGCGAGGAAAGTTTGGATGAATTCAGGGGTTTACCCCAGCCATTAGTGCGCCACATCGCCAGGTTATTCGAGTGTAGAGTTTTTCTCGTCGTTTTATGCACTGACATATAATAGTATATTACGTGCTAAGGCGGAGAAGTGCTGAATTCAACGCTGGTGGAGTACAGGCGCACGAGGCACGTGAGTCGGAGACGAGGCCGCGGAAGGCGGCCGCGTCGTAGACGAACGGTGCCGAGTGCGCCTGTACTCCACCAGCGTTGAATTCAGCACTCGACGCCGAAGCGCGTATACTATTTTTTATTGCGAAAAGCCCGTGGGGGTTGGGGGTGGGGGTGTGGAGCGGGGTCCAGGGGGCGCAGCCCCCGGCGGGGGGGGTGGGGGGGCGGAGCCCCCCCCACTGAAGAAAAAACAAATTGCAAAAGAAAAAAAAAAACAAATGCATTTAAATTTCCCCGCCACAGCCGGGGAACAACAACTCCAAGAGAAGCCAACAAATCACCATCATCTCTCTGTAATCGTATTCCCCAACCTGTGATCAACGACATCTCACCAATTCCACTTCATGATGTCTCACCAGATCCTGCTCCAAATCTACAGTTGAATCAACTTCTACGTTCCCATCCAAATATCAATCTCAATTTTTACAATTGCTCAAATTTTAAAGTATTTGATAAAGAAAATAAGGAAAATAAGTGAATCTCGAGATCTTAGTTGAGATAGATGGGCATAACTGATTGTTTTGTTAGATTTTATTATTTAAACTATGAGTATTATTCTTGCGTTTACGTTGTAGTTTATTTCAGAGTTTCAATAAAAAATTTTCTATGAAATGATATTTCTAATATTATTATTATCAAAATTAAGATTTTTTAATAATTTATTTTTCATTTTAATTTTCA